AACAGAGGACTGTACCAAATAACAGAAACCAAATCACTTGAGGCCTTTCAACAATAGCAACAGCAAAAGAGATTATCACGTGTACTTCGAAGAGAAAATAAAATAATCAAGATATTGACATTCCGCTCTATTTCAAATAAAACGTTAGAAAGGAAAACCCCATCGAAAGTGAAAAGAGCGATAACAGCTACTGGACTTGGAAACCTGTTTTCCCGAAAAAATGTTTTAAGAGAAAGATTTTATAATTTTCAACCGACAGTAGTACTGGAATGTTACTGAATATTTCCTTCTATCATTTTAACACAAAAGCTGTAAATGATAAGATTAAGATTAAAGCGAATTATTTAGTCAAGAGTTGTTTATTAAATGTGTGATCGATAAAGCAAAAACAAAAGAGTTAGTGTCCCCATCTACGAAATCTTAAGATCAGTTATGAAGGCCCAAAAAATATCGGCTGAAATGTAGCGCTAAAAGCAATAACAATAAGGACGATATGAAATACATAAAATGATTCATCTTAAAATTCCAGAAAACAAAGATTTATGGAAAATTACCAGCTGCCTATTTCCCATGAGCATAACTTCAATCCGAGAAAAAAAAAAAAAAAACAAGACTTTTTTTCATTCTTTTATTCGATTAATGTTCTTTTGTTGTATATTTTGTATTTTTATTTATTTATTTTTTTGCTTGTTTCATAAAGGGGAAAATAAATTATTAAATGCTGCTAACCTTCAACCACAGAACGAAAGCTTACGGGATGTCGATTAAAGACAAAATGTCTATTTGCCCATCTATCATGGACCAAACATATATATATTTATGTATATATATATATATATATATATATATATATATATATATATATATATATATATATAGCCAAGCAGCAAATATACCTTTTTTATAATGATTAATTATTGAATGTTGCAATTTACAAACAATAAAATATTATGTTTTTGGATTATTATTATTATTATTATTATTATTATTATTTTGTTATGGACACACTACCTACTAAGTCTGCGGAAAGACCTAAGGCAGGTCGTGGTGTGTTGTTATGGCCACATTTCATGTTATTTTTTTTTTTTTTTTTCTCCGATGAAGTTTAGCGTTACATAGACAAAGTTCTCCTTAGTGTGTGTGCTGTACTTAATAAGACAATTTTCTGTATGTCTCTTAAGCTTGGGGTTGAGGATTCTTTTTCAATGTTGTTTTGTTCCATTTTTTATAATTCCAAGTGCACCTATTACCACTGGTATTATTCTTGTTTTCAATTTCCACATTTTTTCTATTTCAATTTCCAGGTCTTTGTATTTTGATAGTTTTTCAAATTTTGGTTTGTTACAATCCGCTCAAAGATACAATTAGTAGGCAAGTTTTTTCTTTCTGGTTTTTGACAATAATGTCCGGCCTATTTGCTTCAATTTTTCTGTCTGTGTGGATGTTATAATCCCAGAATGGTGACATCTTCTATTTCTGTAACCGGCGCTGGCCGATGTTCATACCAGTGTTTGCTTACACATTTTCCAAAGTGTTTGCACATTGTCCAGTGTAAGTATTGCCCCACTCTATCGTGACGATTTTTATATTCATTTGGGGCAAGTATAGAACATCCTGAGATTAGATGGTCTATTGTTTCTGGTATTTGTCACAGAACCTGCATTTTGGATCCACATTATTATGTATGATATTTGCCTGAAAATTCTTAGTGAAAAGACTCTGGTCTTGCGCTGCAAGAATAAAGCCTTCAGTTTCAGACTTTAATCCAGATGCTCGTAACCATCGATGAGTATTAACTTTATCAACATTGGGTTTATTTGCACGTTCTGGATATTGGCCATGCAGAGGTTTGTCTTGCCAGCGTTGTTTCATCTGTTCAAGGGCTTTATCCTTATTTCTTTTTCATATCTTTTGCTGCAATAGTTGGTTCTTGGCTTTGTTTTGATTTACTACAGAATCTATAAATGTAAATGTTGTTTGTATTTACTGCCTTTTTTTATTATTGAATATTTTTTCTTTCTGTTTTCATGTTGTTTCACTAATTTTATCATCCAGTCATTTGTTGTTTCCATGTGTTAGTAAGCCAATAGTTGTTGTCTTGTATGACAATTCTAGCTGAATGTTCTTCCACCTTCTTTACGGGGTATTAGACAGAACATGCCTTTGGATGATATCTTATTAGAAAGAAGCTTTGTTTTAGAATCCATTTGTCTGATGTCATTTAGAGTCCAGTTCAAGATGTTGAAACTATTGGGATGGCAAGGTTTATTATTATTATTATTATTATTATTATTATTATTATTATTATTATTATTATTCAATCTTTGCTTCGTCCAGTACGAGTTGAGCGCAAGTCTCAACCAGCGACTTCAAAAGCTAACAAGTTTTTGTATCAAAGATACAAACAGATGAAATACCATACATTCAGAGAAAGAAAAAAATGTAATTATGTTGTACGCAAGATATGAGAAATAGCTATGTGCATGATGCTTTACAATTCACTTAATTTGGAGCTACACACTATACTCCATATATTTGTTTGATATCAGTCTTTATTATTATTATTATTATTATTGTTGTTGTTGTTGTTGCTGTTTTTGTTGTTGTTATTTCCTTTGATTTCTGTTGTATACACATTTCCTTCCGGGTCCCAACCAGAGACTTTAGGTCAGAAATGGCTTCATAACATTTTCCCCTGATCATTTTTGTAATAAAAACAAACCAAAAAAAAAAAAAAAAATTAAGATCACTCACATTTTACAAAGCTCTTCGTAAAGTGTGTGTTGTATTTGTGAGTACAATTTTTTTTTGTATTTCTTTAAGGAATGAGCTACTAGGAATTCCTTCAATGAGTCTATCGGACTCATTTCTAATCAATCCTACACCTGGAATTATCGATGTGCCACATTGTTTATTCACATTTTAATTATTATAATTTATTATTATTGGCTGAAAATCAAATTTGTTAACTTTTCCGGGAGGTTTTCTCTAAATATACCAGAGCTTGCAATTAAAATATTTGCCATTTTTAATATATCTGGTTGGACTTGTAGAACATTAAATTTATTTAAAAACCGCAAGAATTTTCATTTCAATCAGTTATTTTGCTGTTCTTTTTCACCAATATTTTAAGAATGATCAGTCTGGGACACATAATGAGGAAGGAAGGCCTGGAGAATCTGGTACTCACGGGTCAAATTGAGGGAAATAGAGACAAGGGGAAAAAACGCGTGACATACCTGGCGGGCTTAAGCAATTGGATAACAGAAAGTGGTCTGGGGGAGGTAGCAGAGGGAAGGAACTTGTTGAGAGCTGCAAGGGATAGAGGGAGATGGAGAGCCATGATCGCCTACGTCCATAAAGGACACGACACACACAAAAAGAGAAACTATCGTTTGTATGTTTTTGATACTTCGATTGTGACTATGGTTATTATCATGGTGTTATAGTCGTAATAATAATAATAATAATAATAATAATCTTTATTCGATATTATCTACAACTACCACTTATGATGATGTTATTTTTTAAAACTATACTTCTATTATAGTAGTTACATTTTTAATTCAGTTTTTTTTAGTTATGTTTAAGTTCGGCTACATCAATATATTCTTTTATTTTCGATATATGATATTATTTTCGATTATATGAACGGTTGATGCTATTAGTATATCACACTTATTAGTATTTTTAAATAATTACGTCTATTACTATAACTTCTAGTACCAATAATACTACTATTAATATTAATAATAATGATGCAGTTCTGACCTTGCTATTGTTTTCATATCTGAATATGTTTTCAAAGCGTTGTCTATTTGATATTTGCTTCTGGTATCGCATTAATGTTTGTTAATTGTGATGCTAGCAGCCCGAAGTTGCCACGCAGTTGGTGTCAACACCCGTGTCGGGTTGACACCGCTGTAGCAGATACTTCGGCCATTGCCAACTTGTCCAATAAATTGCTTTTCAGTTCTCGCAAAGATCTCTTTCACAATAGCATCATTGGTTTCTTTTCCGGTTATCCATTATTTTTCAACTTATTTACCTTCTTTGTCACCTTCATCTATCATTTGTCTCTTTGATTCCCTTTCTCTTGCTATTTCTTATTGACGTACTTTTTCCTCTTTCTCTTACCCTCTTTTTTTAAATTCTAATCCACATTATATTCCTTTTGCTTCTCCTTTTCCCCAATTTTTTCCCCTTCTTATACTACTTTTCCTTCTACTTTCTGCTATTTCTTTTCTTCTCTTTCTTTTAGCTTCCTTAATTACTGTATCAATAAGAATTGGTCGCTTTTATTTGCGAAGTACTGATAAATTAAAGATTATTATATATTTTTTCAAAATAACAGTTTTAATCTGAAAAATCACTCATGTATTTTTTAGGCATTTTTTTAATCGAGACGGCAGTAAAGCCACTAAGACACAACAGGTTACTGAGTATGGAAGAATTAGAAACATTACTAACGAGAGATAACAAAAAGGGTGATAGGAGGACAGTAGATAGCGATTGATATTGCATTTACATTTTTGGAGATTAAAGTTAGCTCGGTGTAACACGGATATACGAGAGTTGTCGGGACCGGAGAAGAAGTCTCTTATATCCGGGTTTGGTCTATTTTGTCTAGGTAAGTATGGGCTCTAATTTGGGACCAGTGAAAATCTCTTTTATATCCGGGTTTCTCTTATATCCGGGTCTCTTATATCCGGGTTACACTGTATTTATTCTTGTATACGCATATATTTTTTTTATTGATTCATTTTCTACGGTTTATCAAACCTCTGCGGGTTATTTAAAGACAAATAATATTTTTAGATTGTAAAAATTTTGGGGGCGATAATAATGTTTTAGTCATACCAATCTTACTATTTAACTCATAGCTGATAGGAAGTGGATTCATACCTTTCCCAAGGGTATTTCTGTTTGAGTTTAACGACCAACTGGAACGCGGTTCTCCGATTAACAATTCTGAGCCATTATCCATTACACCATCCACGCTTACAGCACCTGGTATTCCCAAAAAGTCATCCATCTAGGTAATGACCATGCTCGACGTTGCTTAACTTCGGTGATCGTACGGGAACCGGTGTTTCAACGTGATGTGGCCTTAAGCCTCCGGCATATGTTGGAATTCGTTTTCTGATGGATAATTGATTAGAAACTATTTTCGAATTTATCGAAAGGAAATACTTTAAGACTATGATTAAAATAAATTTCTATTACTATGATTAAGATTATGATAGTATCCTTAAACAATTACATGACTGTTTATGTCTCAGACTAAGATAATTACATATTTATAGTTTCATTTTATTTCAATTTGAAGAAGTTCCGAGTTTTCATATTGAGATGAACGGTAGTAAATTTGTTTATTACTTAATTAAATTTGACTACATTCACCTTTTTCTCACTAAAACCCAAAAGTTAAAGGCCAAATAAAACTTAAAATAAACAAAAATATATCTCTTAAAAATGGTAAAAATTATATGAATGCTTGATAACATATCATAATGTTACATTAAGAAATGGCATAGAAAGATTACAAGTTAATTAGCAACTTCCAAACTGAATTTATCTGTAAATTTACGGCCACATTACGTTGAAATATCGGTTAAGCAACGTCAAACCTGGTAAACGTCGAGCCTAGATGGGTGACCGCTTGGGAATACCAGGGGCTGTAGGCTTGGATGTGCAGGTGGTGTAATGACTCGGAATTTTTAATCGGAGAACCGAGTTCCAATTCCCGTTGGGTTCGTTATATTAACTTACACACAGTTACCCTTAGAAAAGATATAAATTTACCTCTTCTTCCCCAGCTATGAGTTAATTAGCACGGCGTTTATTAGTAAACCATTATTATCTCAGAAGACGTTCTTACAATCAAAAAATATTTTCTGATTTTAAATAATTAAGCTGCAAATGCTTGATAGCCGTAGAAAACGAATCAATCAATATTTTTAGGTCAATTCTTTTGAAGATAATTCAATTTGTGAACCATCTAAAATACTTATTATATATATATATATATATATATATATATATATATATATATAATCTCTCTTATACAACTCTCATCAAAAAACAGTGACAATATATTGAATGTATTGCGGTTACTTTTTTGTTGGCTGATCGGATCATTAATTAAATATATATATATATATATATATATATATATATATATATATATATATAATATATATATATATATATATATATATATATATATATATTAAACTCGTATATATATATATATATATATATATATATATATTGTGTATTGTGTATTTAGGTAGTGATCCTCATTTATACAATTTTCATTAAAAACGACAGACAGGGTACTGCGATGAACCTTTTTATTTAATTTTTCTTGTGTTCGAACAAGTGTTTTCTTTTCTGGATACAGAGTGTGTGTAGAAAGTTAAGTAACTGCTTTCCTGATCAAACCGAATTCATAAATAATTACATCAGTCACACTACTACATGCCTATCGAGACGACTGACCTTACATCTGTCAGATCATAATTCCATCAGAAGCCTTTTAAAGGTACATACAAACTTACTAGACTCTACCCGAAACATACTAGTGGAAAACACAAGCATAATAATCTCATCTACATGTAAAAAAAGACTAAAAATAATTGTTGCATTAATAATAAAAACGAAAAAGCCAACACTCAATATTAAGTACGAACACGGCCACAATTTGCTGACTATATTCAGAAAAAAAACTTATAACTCTAGATACATACACACAACCTATAAACCCAGTTAAAAATAAAAATAAAATCATACTTGATAATGGCTTATAGCCGAACGGGTTCGGAATTACAGAACATTGGGACAGTTTGTACACACTCTGTGTCAAGAAAAGCAAACATTTGTTCGAACACAAGATAAATTAAAAGGCTTAATCGCCTTACCTTATCTGTCGTTTTTAATGAAACACACATTTATATATATATATATGCGTGTGTGTGTGTGTGTGTGTGTGTGTGTGTGTGTGTGAGAGAGAGAGAGAGAGAGAGAGAGTGCGCGCGAGTGCGCCTGTGTGTGTGCGTATAAGTCATGCAGAACGAAAAAAATGTAGGATAAGCGTCATAACTCATCACAGCCTCCATCCCCCAGCACAAAAGCAATTCGTTTGCACAGAATTTCTACTTGCAGAGAGTGTAAAAAAAATAAATATGCTGTATTTGGTGGACTAAAACGACATTTGAAGTTTCATCAAATATTAATGTAACATTTACTGTAAAAGACGCTCAACGTTGCCACATCTGTGCACGACAACGTAAGACTTTGGCGGGACTAAAATGCCACATCCCCACGGCCCAGCTGTGAGGATGGATTAAGCGATGGAATTGCTTGAAAGTGAGTCGTAGCCATTATGAATCTGGCAAGTATATCTTGTGATCAACGTACTCAACAACAAAGTGGCAGCCATGCATGTATGTATAAAGGCTTGGTTGAAGATCAGAGAAAGTTCTTCAGGTTTTATCTTTTGGATTTTTTTACAGTTCAGCTAATTTTTCTGGTTTCCGGTAATATTTTGAAGATAAATTTTCCTATATCTTCTGAGTAGTTTTGATTTCTGGATTTCTGGATATTTATTTTAGTGAAAATAAAATTGTGTTTATGTGAAATCATGTGGTTTGACTCAATAAAAAAAAAAAAAGAAATAAAAAATCTTAAGCCAAGAACGTTTTGAATCTTTACCCAAAGCGAAAAAAACACATACACACACGCACCCTCCTATGTGTGTGTGTGTGTGTGTGTGTGTAAATGCATAGATAATATCGTACATTAAGTACTGGTATTAATAAAATAGTGCTCGGTGTAATATACCAGAGCTATAAATTATAAATATATGTTAAGTCCCAATTCTACCTGAAGATTGTGTTGCGCATGAAACTTCGAGTCGTACTACTGGCGAGGATATATAATATATATATATATATATATATATATTTATATATATAATCCATATATAGCCATATTTTTTTTTAATACAATCTAAGTTTTTCGGCTTACTTACCTACATTAACTTAACCCCTTTTCGAAAGTAACTCATATTTTGATACAGTAGTTGTCAGTGAAAATGAATACAATACCACGCCTTGTAAAAATGACTGGATTTCCCCGTAGCCTTAGAAACTAATTTTATGAAAGTATGTGCTTATAAAACTCCTTAAATTACCCACAAAATTATTCAAAAATTCGCTTGAAAAATGAAACAGGACTAGGGACTTTAATTTAATTCTAATTTATAATTTATTTATTAGCGACAGAACAATATTTTTAAAAACATGGTAATTCATTGAGTGTTTTTGTAAGCGACAGAAACGGATTATATATTTTAAATTAGTAATTTTATATATATTTATATATATAGACTTATATTGATATATATATATATTTTTAAAAAGTTAAGAATTTTCCAAAAGAACATTGGATTATATATAATTCATTGAATGTTATTCTTTTATTATTACTGTTTAATTTGAATCTTTTTTTCGTGGATGAGGTTGGGGTATTTTTCTACTATTACTGTTTCTGAATGACATGATCATTTGCCATATTTTTTGGATTAATATCCTCATCTATATTGTTATTATCACAACGCATGGGCCGTTATACTCTCTGGCCTTCTTTAGGTTTTTGTTGTCCGGGTAACATTCGGGTGAATTTAATTTACGCAAGTAAATTGTTTTAGTTGCACTGTCCATGTCTAGGTACATCTCGTCTTAGATTGTGGAACCTTGTAGATTGGCGCTACAGAATCTCAAACAATGAACTGTACTAAATAACAGAAACCACATAATTTAAGGAGCTTCAACAACAGCAACAACTACAATGGATAGCGCATGTAACGCGAGAAAGAATAATGACATAATCAAGGTGTTGACATACCATACGTTTTTTATTTTTTAAAATCAATTCGCCCCAGGCAAGGCGAAAATGCTACCAAAATGCAAGAGGGGGTTACTGGGTGGGAGAGACAATAAAAATACTTTAGAAGGAACCGGAAACCGAATCCTAAACAGGAAGTAATTGATAAACCTCTACTCCTGTTTAAAAGACCGGGGAGGTGTATGAACTGTGCGATTTTGACTCAGTGGAAACAAAGCGAAATAAAACGAAGAAGTATGTGAGAAAGACGGATTGACAGACACCTAAAATAGTTCAGACGGCACAACTAAGATAAGGACATTAATCCGAATATAAACAATATGACTGTGTGCATTTTCTTTTTACTTTTTGAGGATAAAATTAGCACTATTAGTTGTATTGAACGCGTCTGATTCATTGTATTTGGCCTCGGAAGTTGTTGTCATCGTCGGCACGTTTTCGAAGGTCTAGGTAGGTGATTGCAACGGACTCTTTAGGCGTCTAACGTGCTTCGTAATCTCTGCACTTGTCAGTAATCATTTCTAATCCTTCTTCTGTAGTATTCAATCCTCAACCCATCCCATATTGTATGTTATCAATGAAATTAACAGATTAAAGGTTTGGATTAACGTTCCGATCTCTCCGATTCTATCATCAAGAGTAGAGCCAGACGTGTTCAGTGAGAGACCTATGTGGTTACTTTTCAAGTCAGAGCCGTTTCAGCTAGTCACTGTTCAAATCCCAATGTAACATTTACAAGGGTAATAGAGTTTGTCTTTTGAGTGGAAAGACATCCACTATTTATAGTTGCTTTTAACTTTATACTGGCTGAATTTGCCAGTCTTTAGTTAATCAAATATAAATGATGGTGAAAGGGGTTGACATATTTTGAAAGAATTATTTAATTTCGTACGTCGCTTCAGTTTCCTCTCGTTTTTCGTGTTCGCATACAAAAGATATCATGGGAATAGTCTCTTATTTTGCTAAAAGTTGCAGATGAATATTCCAGTTAATGAAGGAGTGTAATTTATGTTCCTACTTTTCCATCACTGAGTCATTGTGAATTTGAATTTGTAGGTAATTTTGAGTTAATAAGCATTTTCATTTTTTTTTAACTCAAAAGATATTTAGTCCTCATGGGAAAGTTAAAACAATTCTTTTACCATATAGAAACAAATATAAGACACTTTATTATGCAAATTTCAATTAGACGCATAATGT